TAGTGTGTTAGTGTGTGTGTGTATATATATATATATATATATATATATATATATATATATATATATATATAATATTATTATTATTTTTATTGTTTTTTATTTATTTACTTTTATTAATTCATAAACAAGGCTTCAATGGGATGGAAGAACAGTGTGTTCAAAATGTTGTGTCATTGTATCCCTTGAGCGTCCAGCAGATAAAACACTGAAAATTTGATTTTACAACATCATATTGCCCATTCATATTGATTAATATTGAATGAACTGTACTTCTGTCACTTACAGCCTTGTTTTTATTTGTGTCAAATTAAGTATGTTGTGTACTCCGAATGAGATCAGGTGCTAATTATTATGCATCGTATTTGAATTCTTGATTTTTATTGGCAGAATTCTGGGGTTAAATATATTTGCATAATGCCTGATACAACAGTTTCATATCTATATCATCACTCCACAACCTTCTTCTCACGTAATAAACCAATTTCTGCTCAAAACAATATTAAAGATCCATTTATTTATTTATTTTGTAAGCAGTCATGTAAAAAAAGTAGTCCAATTTACAGTGAGCCAACTGACTAGCCTATATATTATTGCCTACTTGCCTAGATTTGCATAATCCTGTAATTTGGTTGAGATTTTATGGATATACTAACTGAACAAATTGAAGAACTATTGGATTTTATTTAGATGGTTTGCTTTCTCCATCAAGGTTGTAGAATCGTTTCTTTTTTTTCTTCTTTTTTTTATAGATTATTATTATTATGCAAACAGATCAAATCAGATACAAAATAACAAAGGTCAACAAAACATACATGACAGCCAACATGATTTGTGTGTGTGTGTGTGACTGGGTGTGAGGGGTGGAAGTATATAAACAAAGGAACATGTAGAAAAGTACAACAGACATGACATAATAGTAGAAAACCGTAATAGTAATGATGACAATAGTAATAATGATGATAATAATAGCATTAATAACAAAAATCAGAGGATTGAGGATGAGGAAGGTGATAAGTAATAATAGTAATAGTAATAGCAATAATAATAATAAAAAAATTTTTTTTTAATTAATTAAATAATAATAATGAACTCAATTTATCAGAAATGAGGGGAAAGTTGGAGGATGTGGAAGATGACATAGCAAAATAATAGTATTAATTAGTAATAGTAGCAATAATAACAATATTAACAATAAACTCATTCATCAGGAACTGGGGGGAGGTTGGAGGATCAGGAAGAGGGCAAATAGTAATAATAGTAATAATGGTAATAGTAGTAATAATAACAGCATCACCAACAACAACAACAATAATAATAATAGTAATAATACAATTTACCAGTGACAAATTAAATGCAACAAATCACCAACAGCAACAATAACAACAACAATAATAATAATAAAGCTATAAATAGTGAGATATTGTAAGGCTGCCTCTGGGCCCTCCATGAGCACAGCATAAGTTGGGCCCCCACCCATGTCACCCTACGATGGGCCATCAAGGAGAGGTGCTGTGGGGCACAGGGCCCAAAGTCCCACCCCTGGCCGCCACATACATGCCATGCTTACCCTATATATATATTTTTTTGTTTGTTTGTTTTTGTTTTTGTTTTGTTTTTTGTTTTTTTGATGTGTTTATTATTAATTTTGTTATAGACGTATATGTGTGTCAACTAGTGTGAGATGCATTAAAAAAGCATGCCGTGCAGCGTGGAACCAGCCCAGTGCAAAGCCCAGGTCCCCATGCTCACGTCACACTTACCCTGTGTGTGTGTGTTATATACATACAGTACATACACATACATATATACATAAATACATACACACACACACACACACATGTATGTACGTTTTTTTGTTTGTTTGTTTTTTTACTCTTTCCCTTGCTTATATTCCAATAAATGCATGTATAGCATCTAATATGTGAGGCATTAAAAAAACAAGGCATGTAGTGCTGAACCAGCCAGAGGCAAGAAGTCCAGGGCAAAGCTGGTACAAACTGGATGTACAAGGTCCCCAGCCCCACATCACACCCAGCCACAACTAATCCGAACCACACAGGGCAGGGACTGAAACGCCACAGCCAACTGAGGCCCAGAGGCAGGAAAAGAGAAAAGGAAAGGAAAAGAGAGAGAGGAATAATAATAATAAACAAAAGACAACAAGAGTGGGGACAGAGAGACAGAAAGAGAGAGAGAGATAAAAATGATAATAAATTTAATCTTTTATGAGGATTTAATTAGGTTTGATTTTAGCCATTGTTGCTACCTCCTCCTAACCCCCCTCCCCCAATCTTGTTTAAATATTGATGAAGATGTGTCATTGAGGATGGCTTCAGACAAAGAGGGTCAGCGGATTCATGATTGATGGAAGTTTATGAGCGATAACCAAGAGGGGTGTAATTCTATTGTATTATTTTGAGTGGAAGTTGACAGGTTTAATAATGGTAGTAGTAGTAATAATAACGGCACCAATAACAATAATAATAATAAAGCTATAAATAGTGAGATATTGAAAGGCTGCCTCTGGGCCCTCCATGAGCACAGCATAAGTTGGGCCCCAGCCTATGTCACCCTACGACGGGCCATCAAGGAGAGGTGCTGTGGGGCACAGGGCCCAAAGTCCCACCCCTGGCCGTCAATGCCATGCTTACCCTATATATAATTGATGCATTTATTATTAATTTTGTTATAGATGTATATGTGTGTGTCAACTAGTGTGAGATGCATTAAAAAAGCATGACGTGCAGCGTGGAACCAGCCCAGTACAAAGCCCAGGCCCCCATGCTCACGTCACACTTACCCTGTGTGTGTGTGTTATATACATACAGTACATACACATACATATATACATAAATACATACACACACACACACACACATGTATGTACGTTTTTTTGTTTGTTTGTTTTTTTACTCTTTCCCTTGCTTATATTCCAATAAATGCATGTATAGCATCTAATATGTGAGGCATTAAAAAAACAAGGCATGTAGTGCTGAACCAGCCAGAGGCAAGAAGTCCAGGGCAAAGCTGGTACAAACTGGATGTACAAGGTCCCCAGCCCCACATCACACCCAGCCACAACTAATCCGAACCACACAGGGCAGGGACTGAAACGCCACAGCCAACTGAGGCCCAGAGGCAGGAAAAGAGAAAAGGAAAGGAAAAGAGAGAGAGGAAAAATAATAATAAACAAAAGACAACAAGAGTGGGGACAGAGAGACAGAAAGAGAGAGAGAGATAAAAATGATAATAAATTTAATCTTTTATGAGGATTTAATTAGGTTTGATATTAGCCATTGTTGCTACCTCCTCCTAACCCCCCTCCCCCAATCTTGTTTAAATATTGATGAAGATGTGTCATTGAGGATGGCTTCAGACAAAGAGGGTCAGCGGATTCATGATTGATGGAAGTTTATGAGAGATAACCAAGAGGGGTGTAATTCTATTGTATTATTTTGAGTGGAAGTTGACAGGTTTTCCATGGAGATGTACTCTATTAGTAAGTTTTTCCAAGATGTAATATGTATGGTGTTCCTTGATTTCCAGTTCATGAGGATAGTTTTCTTGGCGATAGTTAGAGCCACTAGGAGTAATTGACTATTTGTATTGTTTAAATTGATTATGCATATGTCACCTAATATACAGAGGGAGGGAGACAATGGGATGTGACATCCCATAAGGTTGGATAGTGAGTCAGTAACGTTTTCCCAAAATGTTTTAATTGAGGTGCAATGCCAAATGGCGTGAAAATATGTGTCTGGGGTGTTTAGTGTACAATGTGAGCATGTTTCTGACGTAAAAACCCTTTAAAATAATTTTCGTTCAGTTAGGTGAAATCTATGAAGTACTTTATACTGTATAAGTTGCAGGTTGGCATTTTTTGTCATGAAGTAGATATTTTTGTAGATTTGTGCCCAGAAGGCAGCATCGGGAGTAATACTTAAGTGTGATTCCCATTTAACATTTGGTAAACTTAATGTATTGTCTGATTTTGATATCATTCTGTATATTTTGGAGAGTAGTTTTTTTGAGTTCGATATATTAATTAGCGCTGAGATTGGAGGGGAAAGGTCTAGGTTAATTGTCCTAGTGTCAATCTTTGATTGAATTGATGATTTGGTTTGTGAGTATTCCAAAAAACAATTACTCCCAATGCCGTATTTCTGGACCAAGTGGGAGACTGGTGCCAGGTTATTATTATGAAAGATATGCTGAAGTTGTGTGATGCCCTTTTCTGCCCATGTGCGTAAGTTGAGTGGCTTCTTGTTAGCTGTAAAATCTGGGTTATTCCAGATCGGGGTGTATTTAGATGGTGCAAGAGGAGTGTCTGTGATTTGATGAAATTTCCACCAGAAAATTCCATTGTAGAATAGTTTCTAAGATCTGCGTTAGCACATGAGTCATGTTGTGTCTGTGCATGTAGGGTGTTGTTGCGGTGCATGCTGGAGTCGAGCCCTGGCAGAGTATCGTGAGGCAAAACCTGTTCGGCTGGTTTCTCTTTATGTGTGTCAAATACATTTTTTGTTTTCCTTTTTTAAAATTTTTGCTTGCAGAACTGACAGACATGTACACCTGAAGATGAATGCACCCATCTCATGACATGTACTAAGCATTAGGGATGGTGGAAAAGTACCAAAATAAGTAATGAAACAGAAATAAAATTTCATGAAACAGAAATTAAGCCAGTATTGCATTTACACGTTTTTATTTTTAGTCTTTTCTGTTTAATGCCCTCATTCTTCTGATTAGTATCTGATGCAAGAGATTTGACTCTTTCCCCCAAATGTTTATTTATTTAGTTTTTTTCTCTTCTTGTTCTCCAGACTGGTTGTTAGTGGTGCTGGTGGTCCTGGGCTTCCTGCTGTTGTTGCTCCTGATTGGTATCTGCTGGTGTCAGTGTTGCCCTCACACCTGCTGCTGTTACGTCAGCTGCCCCTGCTGCCCAGAGCGCTGCTGCTGTCCCCGCGCATGTGAGTCCACACTGCCTTCACTTCCACTTCCCCTTTAGCCAGAAATGCCCTGTTTAGGAGGATTGTAACGAATCAGCTCATGTGAAATATGAATAATTAACCATAACTAGTTATAATTAACTATTCATATTTTAGATCCGCTGTAGATATTTAGCTGACCTCTCAGGGTCAACTGTCTTGTCAATTCTAAGAACGTTAATTTCCTGGTTAAGGGAAATAACTTTCTTACTGTACAATTCTACCAAGCTTGTAGCGTAAATCTGCATGATTAGTGACTCCGGTTATGAGCAAACAATGAACACGTCAAGTGTGATACAAGTAAGGTTTTATTAACTACATAAACACTTAAACTAGTCCAACATACTACATAAACACATAAACTGGTCTAACATACACATACACACACACACACACATACAGTTGGTATAGGAAAGGGTTAAAGTTGAACTC